TCTTTCCCTCTCAGACATAGGCAGACTCTTCTCCACACAGAGGAGGCAGAGGGTGGAGCTCAGCGACTGTATAAATTATATGTGTCCTTCAGGCTATTGCAGCAGCAACAACAAGCTGAGAGCGTGTTTGTCAGCTGACAGATCTATTACCCAAACTGGGTTTTCTGTTGCTGTCACCATCTTGTGTGTCATGGGGAGCCCACCAGCCAAGGTAAGAGAATTGCAGCTATATGCTTTGCTGTGGCCCGGCACCTTGCTGCTGGGACCTCCCTGCTCCAGTTCTCGCGGGCAAACTCCCTCCTCTTTGCATCTGCTGAGGAGCAGAGACAAACTGCTGCCTGTGCGATGTGGCAGGGCCATCCTGAACTTTGCCAATTTATCGTTTTCCTCACAGTAACTAATATGTCAGAGTGCTTCAGCGAAAATGCAGCAAAAATGTGGCCCTTTTCTTTTATCGTGAGGTGTACATGCTGGAGTGAACACCGGGAAGGAAGAGAGGGCTGGCGTTGATGAGTTTACCTCACTGTAAAAATCAAGGTGCTTTAGCCTTACTGCATACTTTTCTCGGGACAGCACATGTTCGTTGCTTGCTCCAGCTGAAAAAACCCAACAGTTTTTTCTAGCAACAAAGCATAATTTATATTACTTTAGCTCGGGGGAAGAGTTCTAATGAGCTCTTCAACTGATTTAGCTATCTTTAATGTAATGATTACAGCGTCTGTGATTCTAGTGGAAGTATTTCATGTCTGAACTTGAGTTTTCTAGTAGCAAGATCCATTCAGAGATTTTAACTGATGGTTTTTAGTATAAATCAACAGAATTATTAGATGAGAGTTATTTTCTCAGGTATATCTTTACAAAGTAATGGACGTGGTGCCTGAAATGCAATATGTAAATTATATACAACTAACCATTCTTTACATATCAAACCCTGTGTCAAATTTTGCAGCAAATAAAAGAAATATGAACATTCATGGGTTTTAAATATAGTGAGAAGCAATGTTACATGCTATGGCTTCTAGAGAATCGTTAATCATTAAGGGTAAACAATACTTATTATACTTGTGCCATGGTAATATTTGCAGGTGAGGATAAAGATTCAGGAAAATATCAGTAGCTTGAACAGATAGCTCAAATGATAGATTAAAAATTTTCAAACACTGGATGCTCAGGGCAAAGAATATAAACTGTAGATGTAATGTACTTTCTGGATAAAATTTGTATCTAATTTATCCGCCTGTTAGATCTAGACCTATCTATCTATCTATCTATCTATCTTAGATGTAAATATTAGCTATCAATTTTAAATATCAGTGTCGTATCTAATAATATAATTCTGGATCTGATAGAAGAATAGATAGCTTAGGTATAATTTTATCTAGAAAGTCTCAATTACAGCAAAAGTTCTTGCCTTTCGTCCTGAGACTGCAACTGCTATTCCACGTGTATAGCCATACTCCTGGTTAATAGCCAACACTGCCAAGAGGTTAGAGTACAAGCATAGCTTGAGGTAAGCAAGCTTCTGTTCCCAAGGAAGGGGATTCATTCAATACTGCAGGTAGCTCTGCCTTTCTGTCAGGCAAATGCATTTTTCAGTACGTGTAAATTGGTAAATAGATATGGAAATCAGAGCGAAGTGGATTTGTGTGGTTTTTTTTCTTTTATATCAAAAAGGCGCAAGTTGTTTAGAGAAGTGTGGATACTTTGAGCTATCTAGGAAGACCTACTAAAAGTTTTGCTGTTTAAAAAAGCCACCAAATTGACACAGGAGTGATGGACAATATTAATTTACAACTTACTGGGAATGCTTTTGATATTTCTAACAGGGTCTTTTCTTTAGATCAGACAAGAATAATCACTCTTTAGCTGTTTTATCTTGAGAACTACAGAATAATTTTTGTGTTGTAAAATACTCATAAATTCTGTCAATACAAAGCCCCGAGGCACCCACTCATACATGTAAAGAAGTGACTGATGAGTGAATATGAAGAGGAGATGCATCCCAAATCCACAATGACTCTTGAAACAATCTGTCACTGATAACATGAAATTACAGTAAATGTTTGAAAAGCAAATTAGATTTACTCACTAACTGTTCAACTTCCAATGATAAGATTTTGGATAATTGTGATTCTCAAGGGAAATGAGGCTTTCATGGTCATGCTGTCTCCTTCTATCCCCTCTCCTGGTTTTGCATATTTCTTCAGTCACTTGCTTTTCCCACCAGAACTTTGCATTCCTCTAATTTTAGTGAAAATAGGCAGGTGGTTGGAAGGACAAATTGCTGGCAGTATTCTCACTGATGGAGGGGCTAATAAACTCAGCCCATATTAGATGTTAAAGAATCTATGTAGAAGAGAGCGCTTTGGAACAAGGCTGGTCATGAAGCTTTTTTACAGTTTATAAGTTTATAGCTTTAACCTTGATTTGATAAATTGCCAAATTGTAGTTAAACCAAATCCTCCGTATCTAAGATAAAATAAATGGTAAGAATATGCCAAATGATTACATTTGGTGTGAGATCTTGCACATAAGATATTTTACACCTTCTAGTATAACACTGGAGAAAGAAAAAGTAATTATTCCTGTCTGAAAGATATTGATAAAGCTGAGTGATAAATCCTGCAGCTATTTACAGAACGTCAAAGAACAGAGAGAAAAGTCCTCATTATAAAGCTTAATAAAATTTGGTGTTATCCCATGGTGATAACTCAGCTCAGAGAACTGCTTAGGTTTGGTGCAGGGGCAGGAAAACACTGAGATTCCAGTCAGCCTTCCAACGTGTACAAACCAAAGACTTCTTTTTTTTAAAAAAAAAAAAAAAGAAAAAAGAGGTGGTGATGGGAGGAGGTTCCCAGATAGCCAGGCTCTGCGGAAGCTATCCCGTAGAAGACTTTCTAGTGAAGGTAGCCATGAGATCTTGTTATAGGAGCAGCAAGGAGGGGCAATAAGGAGTGAAATCAAAGATATGAACTGTTGGTAGGTTTTTCTTTGTTCACTACCATCCAAAGACCGTCTTGGTAGGCTCCTCATTATTAATGAGCTTTGAGAAGGTTTCATACTCTCGAAGTTGTCTTTCTGGGATAAAATCTTGAAGTGACTAACCAACCACTTGTAAATAGGAGAATTATGTGTCCTCCTGAAGCTGACTGGCATATGACTATTCTCTGGAAGTCAGACAGTAGGCCAGAAAATGTGTATTATTACAATCAATGAGATGTTGGCAACAGGTGTGAACTTTCAGTTTGTTAAGGTTTGACACAGCTTTGACAGAGTGGCAATTCTGCCATTCTGGTTTTATCTCCTATTTGCTGACTTTTCTGTATATTAGACCTAAAATGGCTTCCCCAAAACTTGCTTTGAGAGTACAGAAATGTTGTTTAGTGGTAAATGCTATCAAGCAAAAGAAGTTTGTTTTTAGTGGGTTTTTTTCTGCATTTTTTAGCCTAGTCTTTGGAACTCTGGACGTGTTACTGTTTATTGGTCTGGAGTGTTATTGTCTAGGATACAAACATACACAGGTAGCTGAATCCTGGACTCTGTCATTGGCCTCAATGTGGCACTACTAATTTTCCAGCAAAAATAGAATGATGTGCTTCTGGGAAAGCTGCCTTAGACTCTGGATATTTACAGAGGGGTTTCATTACTCTGTGTGCCTATGCAGGAAACCATGTTTCTCTCGAGGAGAGAACTAGAAAGAGCGGACCAGTACAGGTGCAAGACTGTCAAATGCTGTCTGGATACAATGTCTGTACTTATCAGTTTGCATTAATCATGAAATTACACGTTGCTTTTCATGTTGTGAAAATAGCAAGTGGTATCTCTAGCCATAATATTTTTTTCTAGAAGGGTATTCTGCAGTGCCGGCACTTTTGGGCAAGGATGTTATTTTAGACCATGCAGATCAGACGCTATTATTCTACTCTGGACTACTGCAGAAGAAAATTAGCTCTGCCTTTTTCTGATGAAAAAAAGAATTAGCCCAATTCTGAATGGTTATCACAGGCTGGAGTAACCACAGGCTGGAGTAACTGCAGTCTTAGGAGTGAGATGGCTTCTGGCTTCCCCTGGGTATTTGCACAGCCCATAGGGTTTATTAAGGCCACATTTATTCATCTGAACCTGTTTATCTTTTACACTGCAACAACACCACGAGTGAGCCGCACCAAGTCAAAAGTAGTGAACAGTCATCTTCATGATGTTTCTATCAGCAGGCAGATGTTGGCATGTTTAAGGGAAATGATTGCTGTTGAAAGGGGAAGGGAGGAGGAGTGAGGCTCTCTGGCTCTAGTGGGAGAGGACGAAAACATGACACCTATCTCAGCTGAGAGTACTTTGATGATGAACTGCAAATGCACCATTTTTATAAGCAGTTAGGAAATTTTCATCACCAAAGGTTCAAAGCAACTTGTATACCAACAACCATTTCTCCAGTGAAGGCAAACTATGAGAATGGTTTGGGCTTCTGCTGAGCAAGGGGGAAGTTGGTTACAAAATAACACAGAATTAACATATTAATTAAAAACAGTCAGCTCTGTAATTGCCTATATAATCCAATATTTCATGTTAATGAAACCCACTAGGAATGCTGCCGGAGTGTTCCAGTTGGTACTTCTATGTTAAATAACTATTTGCACAGGAAAATTAAAGTCAAAATCTTTCCATGGACAACTGGAATAATATGGAAGTGTCCCAACTGGAATTTGTAATGTCCATAACGCATTAAACTCAGAATGTTTTAAATATGTCAGTTTCAAATTGGAGGAAAACATAATAGAAATAGTTCTTGTCACACAAGAAAAAATGTGTCCTGCATTTTTACACAAAAAGTGTTTCAAGGGACCATTAAGAGGCCAAGAGACAGAGTAATCTGTGATTTTGTAGGTTTAACAACAGAGTTTCCCTGCTCAGGGTGACTCTTCAATATTAAGCTGAATTTAAAAAGGATGTAACTTGTGACATAATAAAATGTAATATTAATCCTTTATTTGAACACGCTAATTCACAGTTCAAATGGTATCCATTTGATGTAATTTACCTCTAAACAAAACTAAATGAAACTGAATGAAGGCTATTCTTGTCTCTAATAAACACATCCATTTTAAAAGAATTTCAGATTAACTGTACTGAGTGACTCCTTCTATGGACAAGGTCCTCCTTCTCCAGCTCTGTATCTCCAAAGTTAATCATTTCAGTGTCAGGAAAATTAATCATGGTGCTAACTTTCGAAAAAAAACCTGTCAAATTATTTCATTACAGTGTAATAGAATACTCTCATTTAGACAAATAGATACGATGTTTCGGTAAGTGTGTAGTTTAAGCTGCTGTTCAAACTAATGAAATACTTCCAGCGTGGTGTGGCCCTATTTTAATTTATTAGTGGTAGCAGGAGCATATGTTATTATTGCTTGTTATTCCTGACAAGCTGTGCTACTATGCAAAAAAATAGATAAAACATTCACAGAAAATTTAGAAGAAATTTAAATGCTCCAATTTGAAAAAAGAAGGAAATATTTTCCTACCTTTACTATTAAGATTGTCATGTGTTTGTATATGTGTGTTCATTCAGGCTTATCAGAACATCTTCTGAAAATGGCAAATATTTTCTGACCAGTTTAGGTTGGGAAGCTTAATTCTTTGTTAGAGTTAGGAGCAAGTAACTTGAAATAAGCATTACAATGATAGCTTGTCTATGATAGAAATAAATGTCGTGTCTGGAAGGCAAGTGGTTCTGTTCCCATTAGGTATGTTCAAGATACCTAATGATATGGATTCAGTGATATTGCGCCTCCAAAGCAGGGCGCTTTTTTCTTCATCTGAAGTGTCTCTACAAGGCCTATGGTCCATTCACTTGAAGTCAGTAGTGCATTCCTCTAGATGTCTTTTGGTGAGCTTGGCCTACTTATGAGCATCACGAAAACATAGTCCTAATTGGGATACAAAGTCAGAAGTTTTTGGAGCACTTTGGTAACTACCATGCCCTGGCCTAGTGTCAACGCTGTGCCGGGACCGAGGCAGGTAGCTGTAAGTTTGTAGTATTGCCTTCCAAGGGCCCAGTTTTGACCTTCTTGTGGCACAGTGCCCTCGGCAGATTGGCAGTACAACCATCACCATGGCCATGCGTCAGGTTGCATGAAAGTAGGCACCTGTAGGATGACGACAGAAGCTTTCCATACTGTTGTCTGAATCCATGTTTTCTTTCTCTGTCTTCAGTTACTCAAGGTACTTAGCAAATAGCCCAGTGTGCAGTCGTGCTATCATCTGAACATGGTGTACTTCCAATGGAGGGTGGTCCCCTCACTTCAAACAGGCAAACAGAAGGACAGACTGTCGCCTGTACTGTTCAAAATACATATTTTTTGTATTCTGAGCTGATAAAACTTGCATTTGTTTTCTCTGCAGATGAAGTTTTGCCCCATCCACATGCTTTCTGTAAGAATCATACAAGCTAAGAACATCAAGTCAAGAGACCTGTGTGAGTTGTGCTTTGATTGTGTTTTTAGTCACCTCCAGAGTTTGTATAGTGAGTGATGTTCCTAAGTTCTGAAGGGACACAAGGAACATACAGAAAACACAGCAATATATATATAAATACAAACATAAATACAAAACTACTAATGCCAGAACTGTAATTAGATCAGATGCCTGAGATATCTTTAGATTGGAGGACATATCTAGTGGTATTTCAGGGAACTGGTAAAAACCAAGACACTCAGTTGAATTTCCTGGGCCAACAAGGGAAGTTTGATCTTCTGAGGACACTGCAATCTGTAAATCTTCTAGGAGTGGTTGGTTTTGATGTTCATAACTGGTATAAATCATATAATGGACTGGAATTTTGCCACACAGGCCACATATTTAGGAACCTTCTGTAGAAATGTATCAATTATATTCAATAATCAAACGTAAATTAGAGAATTTCAAGCCTTCTAAAATACAGTATCATTTGGGGTATTTGCTGTTCTCAGATGACCAATCATGTTAAATTATATTGACAGTTTCTGGTTAAGAAGTGTCTCTGCAGATCCAGCCCTAAGCATATGTGAACATGGAGGCAAAACAGGCTTTTTTGTGTACTTTTGTAATTCAGCTTTCATTAAGTCATTATCTCACCCTCACAGCCTCCTATGGCTCCTTCTCAAGGTGTACTATGGAGCAGACATTTGGCTGCCATTTTTACAGAGGTCTCCCATGGGTTCCTCAGTCAGGACAGAGACCTTGAGCTGCCTTTTCTCACACTCTTGAAACTTCGAGCCTGTGTATTCCTCTAGTGAAAAATGACCTGTTCAGCCAAAAAAGCGCCACTTTGCAGTGAGTTACGTGAGTTACAGCTGAGGGCCGAGCACAACCTTGGCCAAGCTTGGACACGAGGGAGATCAGAGGGAGTGAATCCGAAGGGCTTTCTCTACTCCTGTGGCAAGTGCCACGTAGCAACGTCCAGAGGTGGACACTAGAAAGGTGGTAGTGTGACAAGGCCTGTATTTCTGAGTTTCAATGATCTCTTCTATCTACTCTATTGAAGGGACAGTTCCACTTTCCTGCCAAAACCTTGCGGGGCAATGTTATTCACTGCTTGATACCAGTCTGAAGTATTTAGGCGTCTTGGGCTGCAGTAGACATCTTCAGTCAAGTCCAGACTCCAGCTCTGAAAGACATCACCTTGGAGATTTCCTTTCACACCGTTGTCAAGCTTCACAAAGTAAATGCACTTTCCCACCCCGGCTCTTCCCAAAGGATGGCTGCTCGAGGCACTGACTGCACTAACCATAAGGAGTAGATGTAGGCTGGAAGAGAGATGAAGATTTGCGACTTGCTCATGCCCTTGTGTTCTTGGGCCCACACCGTCCTTTAGCTGCTACAGATCTTCTTCTCTAGTACCTAACCCTTCTAGACAGCCGTCGTGCCCCCTCCGCATGTTTATGTTGCTAGACTGAACAAGCCAGTCTCCCCTGATCTTCTCTGTAATATGTGTTCTACTTTCCTGTAACCATCCTAACAGACCTTTTTGGATCTAGCTCTAGTTTCACTTAAACTTTTTTAACATCATTGACTGGAATTGTAGGGAATATGCCCGATGAATGGTCAATGGGGCCTTTTATACCTCTTTCTGTTCACATGGGAAACACGGCTCTAAGTCTACTTTGTGTGTGCATGTGTACATTTGCAATTTCTAGTTACCCAGGAATTAGATGGTTTTCCTTGGTTGCTTACAACCGATGGTCTCTTTGCTTATTTAAAAAAAATATGTAATATTTATTAGTCCCCAGAACCATGGCCTTGCCCTGTTTTTCATTTATAACATTGGCATCAGGTATCTAATTTTTCTCTGCTGCAGTGTCTGCATCAGACTGTTATGTGCGCTTGTGGCTGCCATCTGCTTCAAATGGAAAGCTTCGGACCAAAACCATTAAGAATTCTGACAACCCTATCTGGAATGAGACTTTCTACTTTAGGATCCAGAGAGACGTTGAGGTAGTAAAAAAATAGAAATTTCACTATTTTGAATAGCTGGGAACCATCACTTGACACCCTGTCAATCAGCTGTGATAAATAAATTAAGAAAATGCTTGTGTAACAGAATTTGCAACAGACTGGTTAGCATGAAACAGTAGACATGTGCAGTAGTGTTCCCCTCAGCTAGTTCTAGACATTGGTGATATAGATGCCTACATCTGAGCTAGTCCAGAGTTGCTTTGTTGTCACCTGAGAGAAAAAAGTACTGTTATAGTATACTTCGTCTGGGCTATTTTTGATGTTTAATTTAAAAACAGCTTCCCTCCACTGGTTGTAAGGGAAGTGTAGTGGAGTTGCTGTGGTGTGGACCGCAAATTTAATCCTACCCTGTGTAGTTAAGGGAACTTCGAGGATGAAGAAACTGAGTAAGTGTGTTTGGGTGGGTTATCAGTGTGGTGTAGAGCACTGACATCTTTTCTGTCTCAGGATAGTGGGAGTTCTCTGTTATAGGTTGTGGTCTTCTATGTCATGGTAAGTTTCCCAAGGTTGGGTTTAATGATGGTATTCCACATTAGCAAACTCCTGCAGAAAAGCAAGTTTCTTTATTCTTACCACTGTGCTAATCAAACAGCTGCAAAAGTCTATAGGTTTTTTTTTTTGTTTCTGTGTAATAGCAGCTCAGTAAGAGTTCTTACTTATTTTCTTCTGCTACCAGAACGTTTTAGAATTGGCAGTGTGTGATGAAGATCCACTCACCAAAGATGACATGCAGTTCACAGTTCTTTTTAATGTTGCTAGAATCAGACCCGGGGAGACACTCCGTGAGATGTTTGCTCTGAAATCGGAGGTAAGGACTGAAAATACGGGGAAAGATCGGCAAGGCCTCATTGTCCACATTGGCTTCCATGTTAAGTGGGGTTTGGGTCTGCATAAAAAGATAACCTTTTATATCATTACCATCAAAACTTGTTCATCAATGACCTGGATGAAGAGAGAGAGTGTACCCTCAGCAAGTTTGCTGATGACACAAAGCTGGAAGGAGTGGCTGATACATCAGAAGGCTGTGCTGCTATTCAGCGAAATCTGGACAGGCTGGAGAGTTGGGTGGAGAGGAACCTGATGAAGTTTAACAAGGACAAGTGTAGGGTCCTGCACCTGGGGAGGAATAACCCCATGCACCAGTACAGACTCAGGGCTGACTTGCTGGAGAGCAGCTCTGCGGAGAGGGACCTGGGAGTGCTGGTGGATGACAAGTTAACCATGAGCCATCCCTGGCTGTAAAGAACCCCAGTGGTATCCTGGGGTGCATTAAGAAGAGTGTGGCCAGCAGGTCGAGGGAGGTTCTCCTCCCCCTCTACACTGCCCTAGTGAGGCCCCATCTGGAGTCCTGTGTCCAGTTCTGGGCTCCCCAGTTCAAGAAAGATGAGGAACTACTGGAGAGAGTCCAGCGGAGGGCTGCGAGGATGGTGAGGGGGCTGGAGCATCTCTCTTACAAGGAAAGGCTGAGGCAGCTGGGCTTGTTTAGCCTGAAGAAGAGAAGGCTGAGAGGGGATCTCACAGAAGCTTGTAAATATCTTGAGAGCGGGTGTCAATAGGATGGGGTGGTGCTCAGCGACAGGACAAGGGGCAACGGGCACAAACTGAAGCATAGGAAGTTCCATCTGAACATGAGGAAGAGCTTCTTTACTTTGAGGGTGACAGAGCACTGGAACAGGCTGCCCAGGGAGGCTGTGGAGTCTCCTTCTCTGGAGATATTCAAGAACCGCCTGGATGAGGTCCTGTGCAGCCTGCTGTAGGTAACCCTGCTTCAGCAGGGGGGTTGGACTAGATGATCTCCAGAGGTCCCTTCTAAGCCCTACCATTCTGTGAAAACAGATAGAATTGTGACTTCATTAATGTCTTTTCACAGATTCAGAAAATGAAGCAGCTTCTCTCTCATGCCCACCATCTCTGTGGGAGCAAAATACATTAACAGGGAGCATACTCATTTTTATCTTTTATAATCAAAATAAAGAACTTCCTTACCTTTTGGCTTTATTCCACTTTTGCCATAGAGACAAAGGGACATTTCCTTTTAAATGGCAACTTATAATTAAAATCATAAAGACAATCCACTGACCACTTTAATTAAATGATGAGATTGAAATTAAAAATGTGGGATTGAGTGCACCCTCAGCAAGTTTGCTGATGACACCAAGCTGTATGGTGTGGTTGACATGCTGGAAGGAAGGGATGCCATCCAGAGGAATCTTGACAGACTTGAGCAGTGGGCCTGTCCAAACTTCATGAACTTCAACAAGGCCGAGTGCAAGGTCCTACACATGGGTCAGAGCAATCCCAAACACAAATACAGGCTGGGTGGAGAAAGGATTCAGAGCAGCCCTAAGGAGAAGGACTTGGGAGTGTTGATTGATGAGAAGCTCAACATAACCCAGCAATATGTGCTCACAGCCCAGAAGGACAACTGCATCCTGGGCTGCATCAAAAGGAGCATGGCCAGCAGGTCGAGGAAGGTGATTCTGCCCCTCTACTCTGCTGTGGTGAGACCCCACCTGGAGTCCTGTGTCCAGCTCTGGAGCCCTCAGCACAGGAAAGACATGGACTTGTTGGAGCGGGTCCAGAGGAGGGCCACAAAAATGGTCAAAGGGCTGGAGCACCTGTCCTATGAAGAAAGGCTGAGAGAGTTGGGGCTGTTCAGCCTGGAGAAGAGAAGGCTCCGGGGAGACCTTATGGCAGGTTTCTAGTCCCTGAAGGGGGCTGACAAGAAAGCCAGAGAGAGATTTTTTCAAGGGCATGTAATGATAGGACAAGGCGTAATGGCTTTAAACTGAGAGAGGGTAGATTTAGATTAGATAGAAGGAAGAAATTCTTTACTATGGGGGCGGTGAGGCACTGGCACAGATTGCCCAGAGAAGCTGTGGCTGCCCCCTCCCTGGCAGTGTTCAAGGCCAGGTTGGATGGGGCTTTGAGCAGCCTGGTCTGGTGGAAGATGTCCCTGCCCATGACAGAGGGTTGGAACTAGATGATCTTTAAGGTGCTTTCCAACTCAAACCATTCTATGATTCTTTCAGGCTTTTGCTGTTGGTGTTCATGCTGGGTTTCCTAGATGATTCAGATTTCTGTAGCCCATAGTAGAGAGACGCCTGTTCTGCTGACATCTTTGGTATTCTGTTGAGGAGCCCATGAAAGAGAGTTGTCCGGAGAACAAAGCAGGGATAGGTCTGTGACAACTCCTGGGCTTGTGTGAGCTGTGGCTGAGGTATTGCTACACGCTCATTGCAGGAAGGAGACCCTCCATATGCAAAAGAACAGCTACTTCCCAAAAGCTGAAAGCTGTTAACATGGATCTTCCTTGTGACTCTGCAGGCTGGTGCCATGCTCTGCCTGGCAGTGGTTGAGTCACTGGGAAACATGATAATTCAATAACCACTTCAATCCAAAGTGCTCTTGCCTGCTACATCTTTTCTGGATTCAGTGTGAACGTGATTTAAATGGTTTGTACATGGAAATGACACTGGCATTAGTCACATTTGTTGCTGGTCTTCAATGCCTTTCCCTCGTGCACACCATCTTTGCAGAAAGCCATGACGTTTCTGTTTCAGTCAGGATTTCCCTCTCTGATTGTGTCTTTGGAAATATGTATGGAATCATAGAATCATAGGTTGGAAAAGACCACTAAGATCATTAAGTCCAACCATCCACCCAACAACACCATCCCTACTAAACCCCATCTCGAAGTGCCACATCTACATGTTTTTTGAACACCTCCAGGCATGGTGACTCCACCACCTTCCTGGACAGCCTGTTCCAATGTCTGACCACTCTTTCAGTAAAAACATTTTTCCTAATATCTAGTCTAAACCTCCGCTCATGCAACTTGAGGCCATTGCCTCTTATCTTATCGCTAGTTACCTGGGAGAAGAGACCAACACTTGCCTCACTATGACCTCCTTTCAGGTAGTTGTTAGAGAGCAATAAGGTCCCCCCTCAGTCTCCTCTTCTCCAGACTAAACAGCCCCAGTTCCTTCAGTCGCTCCTTGTAAGACTTGTTCTCTAGACCCCTCACCAGCCTCGTTGCCCTTCTTTGGACATGCTCCAGCAACTCAGTGTCCTTCTTGTAGTGAGGGGCCCAATTCTACACATCCCACAATGGGAGAATATTAATCTTCTGTGCCTTTCATAAAGCTGTGGTTTCCACTGCAATCTCAGCTTTGGAAAGAGGTAACACACAGCTTTTTTGGTAACATTAGCAGAAGAGAAGTCAGCCATGGAAGTGCTTTTTAGGTGTGTCTATACTGCCAAATTCTTGCAGCCTCCAATAATACATATTTTTTTTTACTCTTTTCTTTTTAGAGAGAGAGGTGCACTAAGAAATGGGAAAGTCTGGAAGTGGAATTCTGGATGGAAAGAATGTGAGTAAAATTCCAAAGATGAAAAGTATAACTCTGGCAGGGAGTAATAATATCTCAGAGAAAGAAGAACTTCTTCTAACTCTTCCTCCCAGCAGTCAGCTGAAACTACAGTTTCAAACTTTTTTTAACTTGACTTCCCCAGCTAATTCTGCTTTTCAGTGTATTTCACACAAATTGTACCTTCTGTTCGACATGTATATCCGGATTGTGGAAATATAGTAACACTGACATCATATGATAACTTGTACACAAGATAAATGTGAAACTTAAGAGGTGCTCTTCAAGTTGTTAATATTAATAGAACAATGCCTAGAACAATGTGGTGTTTCTAAAAGACCAGAAAACTTGTCTTGTATTATACATGAAATCATGTATAATCTTGTATTAAACATGAAATCATGTATAATCTTGTATTATACACGAAATATGCGCAGAGTTATGTAGACAGTATTAGAAAAGTCACTCTTTAGGCGATAGCTTAGTTAAACTGAAAAAACATACAATCAACAAATAATAAAATTAAGACCATCTCCCTCAAACTGGTAATCAACATTGTATGGAGGAGAACAAATCCATAAGATAAACTTTATCACTCTTTTAAATACTATCACAAGTTTGGTTGGAAAAAACCCCTAAACTACACATTCTGGCATATTCAAGCTTAGCATTACTAAAGAAGGCATACAGTGAAGACTGACTAACTGCATGATTAAAAGAAGGAACTGTAAATACGGCTTCTTACTCATAAGCATGGAAAAGCTACAGAAGGAAATCATTGGTGTTTCTGGTTATTTTCTCCCACAAACTTGAAAATAAGAGAATCTATTTAATTGATCTATGAGAGATACCTTAAGAGACAGTGTAAGCATCTCCTGCAAATGTGAAAGCAGTCATAGCCAGACATATAAAAAGGACAGAATGAGATGCAGTGCTTGGAAACTGGACTGAGTAGATTCAGACTAGAAATAAGAAGAACATGTCTCACCATTCAAGTTATAAGGCATGTGGGGGATTCTCCATCCTTGGAAGTCAAACCTAGTTATTTACATTTAAATACATTCTACAGCTGCAATAGAAGTTTTAAGGCTGGAAGTGGTGCTTGGTAAAATACCCTGGACTTTGCAGAAAGTCAAATACATACTACATAACTTTAATGATTCTTTCAGATATGTGAAAGCACTTATGAATGTGTGTAACCTAGTGATGTTGGAGTATTGACCTTAATGAGAGATGCTGTTAGTAGACTCTGGTGAGGTTACTCATAGTATTAAATAGCTACATCCATTCAGTGACATAGGTCTTGCAAGGTAAAATGTCTGGGACAAAGACTTTCTATTATTTACCTCTGTGTTTTCCAGTCACACCTATAGCACAGTGGGAGCTAATTCTTATTTGCTGTTCGTTTGTGATCAATTGTAAATTATAATCTGGAATAGTCAGAAATGTCTTTCCTAATACGCATTTGCAGAAGACATTAAAGTAGTCTTTGCTTTCCGCAAGTCATATGGTCATTTGTTAATAGCAGGATATGATTCCACATAGACCAATATGTCTTTGTTCTGCTCTATCTTAACATATAGTTTTAAGCACTGGTATTTTTGTGGGCTGTCCTGCCTTTCTTCTTGTTTGGCTACTACATTTTTGTTTGCGTGCTTAGCAGGTGATCATGTATTATACCTTTTAAAAAACAAATTTTCACACACTGTATTCAATTTAAGCAGGAAAGGTCATAAAACTACTATTTAAAAAAAAACCACCAGATACCCACACAGTTTTTATTTGCTTGCTTTTTGATTCTGTCGTTTCAGTCCTGGCCCTCCAGAGCACCTCATTACCAATGATGTCCTAGTGGTAAGGTTCACATATGAATTTAGCTTGGAGTGACTTTTCCTTCATTTTAATTCTTTCCTCTTGCCCCCAGCCATCTGCCATTTTATAGAGAGACCAGAAACTACCATGATAGATAAGAGCATGATGTGCATTATAAAGTGAAAGATGTAGGATGATTCCCCATTCGTTATGGTTTGACTGTTGCCGTCCCCATGCAAAAACAGAAGCTCTTTCTTGAAGGCCTTCAGGTATTACACATGCCAGTATTTTGTCCAGATCTGGTTTGGTAATGTTGCAGAACCCCATATTTTTTGGTTTTCAAAGTGAAAACTGCTTGTGTTTCATGTAATACAGTATGGCACTTGGCAAGAAAAACACAGGTTATAAAAGGGATGAGTCTATAGAAGGCAACAGTAAGTATTCGATGTGCTTATGACTGGAAGGTTATCTAATGTAACAGCTTTTTGGGAAATGAGTTTTTAAATAAAGAGTTATTTTAGTCATTGAAATGTAGAGTCCTTTTCTGGTATTAGACAGCATGCGGTACATCATTACCTATCTCCTTGGGCTGGCCCAGCAGCTAAGGAGTACAAAGTACTTTGTGCTGACCACTCCAAGCCTTTGCATGATTTCCAGATGCTAGCCTTTAATACCCCTGAGGCAAAGTAACACATATTCTGTTCTTTACCGCTTATTTTCTGTGTGAGGTGTAAGAGCTGTAATGATTGGCATGCGTTGTTCCTGAAATGGCTTGGAAAACTGTCCTGGCATGAGTTATTAAAGGTGAACTGGAATGACTAAGGTGGAGGGTAGGGTGGAATAAATCTGTGATCTCCCTACATCAGGACCAGCAAGAAGATGCCTTGTAGACACATCACTGCCACAATACACAGAAACTCATCATCAGGTGTATTCCCCCACCCTTCCTAAATAATTATCAGATGTACGTGTAGCCATATGGACAACAGTGTGTTGTACAGTTCCCTGATTTTGGGATAACTTGGATCGGTATAACCACTTCTGGCAATGCACCACTGCATGGACAAGCTAGTTCTGAAGCAGTGTAACTGGGCTACCGTCCTGGGATAATGAGCTCTGAATTTACTCTTGTGCAACTGGATTGCTTCCAGCACTGAGACTAGCTTAGTTGTCTCTATATTATATGTAATGGTTGACTGCATGACGTCTTGTTGCTTGCTGCAAAGGTGGCATTTGCTATCTTCACACTTTTCCACTCCTATCTTTTACAGTCCCGTGAAGTTTGCTGCTTGAAAGTGCAAGTGGACATTAATGAAAGCAGAAAATATTTGAGAGGTATGCTGATTTCTCTGTGAAGCAAGGACATGACCAAATTGACCTTATCATAGTCATTAGGATACAGAGATGACTAAGAATTTTCTGAAGACTCCCATTGTAATGCTGATCTCTGTGTTTTCCTTGAAGCTATCAGGTTTGGACATAGTAAACTTTGCTGGTGGAAATGTGAGAGAGTGCTGCTCTGGGAGCACTCCAGGCTATGGGGTAAAGGCAGGAGTACCAGTTCCTGTGCTGTAGGAGTCTTGCCAGTGTGGCAGCTTACGGAGGAGTTACCATAAGAAGGACTCCAGCAGAAAGTTTGCCAACTTTGTTAGCTATTTGCCTGAACAGCGGTGTTATTCTCTAAACAAATCTGTTTTCACTAGAGGGTGTAAATCTTGTGCTTACGGTGCCTGCATCTCATGAGGGAACACAGAAAACGACAGAGGACAGAGATACTTTCTACTTCCATTGCGTGAAGGCTTGGGAGCCAGTTCTAAAAGTCAGGCTGCAGGTAATGGGCGCTGTACAATATCACCGTTCGTACTGCTTGCTTATTTCCAGTGTCACCAAAACAGTAAAGAACAGGATTGTTTCTGTTCTGGGAATAAAAAAACCCCTTGTTTTTTGTTCTCTGTAGAAAGTTTCTGATAAGGAAGATGTCAACAGCAATTTAAGTGACACCTTAACAGTACCAATGAAATTTCTCCCTGTTGGACATACAGTGAAAGTAACCCTCCCTGTAAGACATGTAAGTGCTTCACCATTTAAATGATCTTTTGGAGAGAAGAGTAGAGTAAGCCTCAGTATTTAACACCAAAGCATTATAAAAAAAAATCAATTAGTAAGTCTGAGTGACAAGTTCGTGCAAATACAAGTTTTCTGTGAAAAAGGTTAGTTTTCTCAGAGAAATATCAATTTTCTGTCAATAAGATTAATAACTGGGAATTCATACTGGCCAGTTTTATATGCATTTCTGACAAACCTCTGCTGTGCTTACACAGTTAAAGGACAATATTCAATATCCCTAGCAAGGCTTTAGGATGCCCCACTGATCTTTGTCAAGCCTGGGTGGCTAGTTCAGTCTTTATACCTAAATTTTAGAAGGCTAAAGTTAGATGAATTGAACCTTACCCTCGGAGAACAATTCTATCACATTCTTCTATGTGTACAGTCATGAGGGTAACTGGTGGACAGATACAACTCTAAGTTGCTTTAAAAGCAGTAGTAATGCTGCTGTGTGGCCAGATGAATCTGTTAACAGTAGCCAGACTTTGCAGGAAGTGAGAGGCAAAAATAGGAGGAGGAGAATTTCTCAGCAGCCTTTCCCATAGAGAGAAGGGAGAATGAATGTCTGTTTCACCACTGGTGATTCCCCACCTCTCTATTTGGACTCTCCTTTACCTCTAGTAGGTAGCTTTTTGGAAGGATGTGGTGACTTGTGTTTCCTATTCTATCGCTGTCTTTATCTGGCTGCTGTACTTCATCCTCAAGAACAGGAGGATGGCAATGTGATACTGCTGCTGGATTAGGATGGTTCATGGAGGTATATTCACAGTGAGGAAGAGATGCTGTTTCACAGCCCATTCATCTAGCCATTTCAGCTCCTCCTGCCTCTTTTGCTTCTCTGTACAATATGTTTAGTGTTTAGTTGCTTTGCTTCTCTTTGCTGCTAGTGTTTTCCAAAAAAACATATGCAGGGTGGTAGTGGTGGGGCATTCCAGGAGGCACTGAAGATCTGGATTTCAAAACTTCTCTTTTTCCCAGTCATTCACGTTCCTGCTCTTGTTTCTTTGTTTACAGAATGTGCCACTGCAGTTGTACCTCCAGCTAGATGATTGGTAAGAGGACTGCCTTTTTCTCTAAAGGTTTTATTGCTCTTTGAACTGTGAATTCCAGAACAGAGTATCCTTTATTTAGATAAAAGGAATGCACAAGACGGGGCAAAATATGACAATAGTGAAGTCACCATTAAAGAGTCACCACAACAGATCAAAGTTAAATGTCCTTGGGGCAAAAGAGTCACGCCAAGATGAAAAACAAAAATTATGAGGATTTGAAACAGTGAGAAACTTAGTCACCGAGTGTCCTCTGCGTCGAAGAACCAAAGACTGAGATTGGAGGCTTCTTCAAAAGGGACGCAGAAGCCGGAAGAAGGCAGAGGGGAAAGGGAATTTGAAATAAGCAAGACATCCAGAGTCCATACATTACTCAAACCACACAGCTATTCTTAAGAAAATAGATTTGTGGCTCTGGTGATATCAACAGAAATAAGCACAAGCTAGGGAAGATGAAATGTTACACCCTAAAATGAGACAGAAAACTAATAGACAGACAACAAATAAACAAAATTATTTTAATCTCTTTTTCATTTTAATATGTATGAAACTGTGGTACAAATCCCCATGGAAGACCTGGTTAGGCTTAAGTCACTCCTTGCTCAGACAAGATATGAAGCAGAAATAGAAAAGATTCAGCTTACAAAGCTACTGAAAGACACAGAGAAGCCTTTCTTTTTTCATATTTGCTATCCTTTGCTGGCAGTAAAACTCACACTGAAACACCAGAAAAAAAAGAGACCACACAGAAGCAAAGCAGTTGATTCCTTTGAAACTGGAAGTGTATTTCTGTCTCTAAATCTGAACAGTGAATCATTATTTTTTATGATATTCGGTAGACTGCAGTTGCTGAAAATAGATCCATATACATATACACCAATCCTGTGCCTCTGGATTTATTTATGTTTCAGCACAGAAAAACTAGATGTGCGCTTAGGGTATGATCTGTGCCGAGAAGAGCAAGAATTCTTGCACAAAAGGAGGAGAGTGGTTGCCAGTGCCCTGAAAAGGGTTCTTCATCTGGAAAGAGATCTACATGGACACGAGGTCTGTGAGTTGGAATCCAACCACTGGTTGTGGGTCTATTGAATTAGGATTGACACAGCTCTCCACAAAAATTCTAGTAGTTTTTGCATGTTGATGACAAATGCATTGATTTGAATGGCATCAGAACAGAAATTCTCAGTGTGGGATACCCCATACTCATCTAAAATTTCAGTTCAGCTATTTATGCCTCCATTCTTTTCAATGGGTCAAATTCCCAAGGACATAATATACCACTCTTCAAAGCCAGAGTTTCCAACAGTGTGATGCAGCAGATCAGCAAGATATGAGGCATTGGTACATTGTATTAGACACAGCCTAGCCAGACAACCCAAACCAAGTAGGAAAACAGGAGTATTTGAAATTCGCCTCATGTAGATATTTATGAAATCATCGTGATTTCCCTTCTCTAGCCTTACCTTTTTTTCATTTTCAGAACACTTTTCAGAAAGAGGCAAAATTCTTTAGGGTGAAGAAAGACTATTTTATAACAAGCTCCAGCTGAAGTATGTTTTGTTGCCAAGATCCAGGGTGAATTTTGAAGTGAACATTTATTTTCTTGCTGGAATTACATTTGTTAAATGGATGCGGTCCAAATAATCATTTTGTTTGTTTAATATATTTTTTCTGAACTCTGCTCAGGACTTCACTGAATCCATTCTTAATTAGATTTATTGCATTTTTTGTTATTTATAATAAAATGATATTATTATCTGTTATTAATCATTGCAATTCCAATAATAAAAAACAAAGTGAGGGAGGAATGAAGGTTAGAATCAATCACTGCATGTTCAAACACATCCAAGCTTTGGGGTTAAGGGAACCCACTGAGTATCTGGAGGTTAATTTAAATAAGGTACTGATGAAGGCTGGCTGAATATTGATTTAATTTCATTGTCTTCCAATGAAGTCTGCTGAGGAAATTATAAGAGCTGTAATTAGACTTTTCCAAGTATGTGAGTAACTTTTTGAAGATATATTATGTTTTGAACAGGTCCCAGTAATAGCTGTTATGGCAACAGGTGGAGGCCTCAGAGCAATGTCAGCTATGTATGGCCACCTCTTAGCTCTTCAGAAGCTAAATCTGTTGGACTGTGTTACATATCTCACTGGGGCTTCTGGCTCGACATGGTGCGTATAGAAAATGAGATTTGTATTTGAAAGACTGTGACACTACCTTTCCACACAGTGAGAGAGATGCATCTCTGTCTTACATTGTTAATAAGTGAACGTAATTCCCTGGTAAAGCTATTACTGTTAGTTCTCGATCATAATTTCAGTTTAGGTTTACTGATTCTCTTCTTTGATGAAAGCAGCTGGGTAAATGTAGTGATTTTCCAAAATCATTCAAATAAATGGATGACTTTCTCACATTTCTGTTCTTTAGGACCCTAGCAGACCTGTATGAGCATGCCGACTGGTCACAGAAGACTCTGGAGGGGCCGCTTAAGGCAGTAAAAGAACAAGTGACAAAATGCAAGCTCAACCTTATGTCTATAGACCATCTGAAGTATTATCACAAGGAACTAGCTGAAAGGGCAAAAGCAGGACATGTGTCATCTTTTACAACTCTGTGGTCACTTGTTCAGGAAATGTTCTTACATGAACGGGTATGTACATGGTCCTGCCACACATCTGGGAAACATCCACTCATTTTCTTTAGCGCTTTACTCTTTGAGGGCATGATGTAATGTGTGGATCAAATCCAAAGTGACTGAGGCATCCCAGTGTTTTGTAAACAATGACAGAGGATCTTATAGCCAGGATTTTCCAGGGCAGCTAATGGTTTGAAGGTGCCTCTGTATTAGGGTGCCCAACAGCTAGCAACTTCAGCAGACAAACTTTCAGAAAGAACTGTGCAATCCCCCCTGAACAGTCAGGTCTTTTAAAGTCTGTTTGCAGTTGGACATTTAGGAGCTAGACTAATTTGTTCTCATGTGAGCATTGGTTTCAGCCTTAGTAAAGATCTGTGGGATGCAGGCAATCAAGGCACTTAGATATTAGTGAAGAGCTTACTATGTATCAAACAGGCAACCAGGGAGGAAAGTGCAGGAACACGAAGGAAGAGGTCTTTCATAAAAATGTGACTCACAGATTACTCTGGATTGTAAAACGTCTGTTGCATATCTGTACCCAGGTAGATTGTGTCAGTGTTTTTGCCTTATCCTCTTCCAGAGGTTCACTGTGACTTTTTAATCTCTTTGGTTAGCCAAGAAAGTACAAACTCACAGACCAGCGCAAGGCATTGGAGTATGGACAAAACCCCTTGCCCTTCTATGCAGTCCTCAATGTGAAAGAGGAAAAGTTCGGTACTTTCAAATTTAGAGGTGAGTATTCCTAGGGTTTCTACTGACTTTCAGTAGAGACTCAAGAGAATTTGGAGGGAGGGTGCTTGTGTGTGGAGAATAAAAGGGGAATACATCTGTTGCTTGCCCTGGCTCCATATTCATCTTTCAATAAAATGTTTGTCTTTTTTTGCGAACTGCTGGATATTGATTAGAAAGAGCAGATCTGCTTGATAACATCCTCAGGCACAAACAGGGCATTTGTGAAGATCTGGGCTGAAGTTCTAGTTTTGCCCCAGACGTTGTGAGTTAGTGAGGGAAAATCATGTGATCTTTTTCTGCCTCAGTTCCTCACCTGTGAAATGGTTTTGATGGTTCCTTAGTTTGTAGAGGTGCTGTGAAATGTAATTGTCACTTCCCTAAATACTGCACTGATGAGGGTATGAAAACAGAGTGGGGTATGATTGCTATGATGGGTGTGATATGACACCCTTTAAATGGACACAGGCTACATTCAACAAAAGGTATTAAAATGAGCAGATACTGGAAAGAAAAAAAACAGTGCTTACGTTTGGTTAAGTTTATAGCTATTCTTCTACTGCTATACCTGTACGGGACAGCTTGGGTCAGGAAACTGCATGGGCATGCCCACACTGTGATACTTTCTAGTTTGGAGCTGATGTGTCTTCAGGCTGCTTTGTTGTATCGTGTAGACTGACAGGTTTGTGTTAGTAGAGGTTTCATGCCGGTCATTCCTTGCAGGTTGGATCACGCTTGCATGTTATACATTTGATGCTTTTGATTTACAGAGGCAAGTGGGATCCCAGAATCTTTCTATAGAAAAACAAATCTAAGCTTTTGAAGCTAATGTTAGACTCTTTCTGAGGTGAAAAACCTAGTTCCTTTTGTATGCAAATTATCTCTCAGTTTTTATGGAACTAGACAGTGTAGTTTGCAATACAAAGCTACCGATAGTACAGAGCTGCTGAGACAAGCAAGATCCATGGAGCTTGTGGATAGCGTGATCCACAGGGGAAGGTTTTGTTTTCTTATTTTTGTCACTCTAAACATGCCATGTGTCAATTCTTTTGTAGAGTGGACGAACTTCTCTCCTTACGAGGTGGCCATACCAAAATATGGAGCCTCCATTCCTTCAGAATATTTTGACAGTGAGTTCTTCATGGGAAGGCGAGTGAAGAAGCTGCCAGAATCTCGGATCTGCTATCTGGAAGGTGACCTAGCAGTGCAATATAGTTAATCACAGCATGGTAGAAAGCATGGTGCTAGCTAGCCATTGGTCTGTGTACAACACTCTTTGTCAGCAGGTCTGCTCTAGGTCTTGATTCAATGGGCTTTTTACCTCTTTTGCACACCGCTGCTCTTTCCTGCTGTCCTCCCTTTTAACTTGGTCAGATTTGGGAAAGTTGCAGCATGCGAAGTTCCCCTTCCCATTTTCTGAACCAAAGAAGAAGGTGAAGAAGGCAGGTTGGGGAAATAATAAGCCTTTCTTCCCTGACCAGTCATCAACTCTTCAACATCGTCAACTGTATTTCTAGGCAATGCATTGCTGCGGTGGAATTGGAAGGAGCTGAAAATAAAATATAACTCATCTAAAACAACCCACAAAGGTGACAACCAGCTGAGCTTTGTGGGTTGAGAATGATGTCACTAATCTTCCCCACCCATAAGGATGAAGGAAGCCCTTTTAACCTCCATCAGCTGTTTTGAGTGGCTGTATGGCCTTGAAAGGCAAAGAAAAGGGGAAAAGCAGCTAGTCAGAGGAATCCATCTGCACCAGGCAGATTTTAAATCCTTGTCAGAATTTTAGCTTTTGATACCAAAAACAGGGGTCCAGTGGAGACAAAAATCGTATTTCTTTCACTGTGAAATCTGCGAGAGTTTGAATTTGTTCTTCATGTGAGTACCTGGCATGGGGCTTAATGACAAAGGATAATTCTTTCTTTTCCAAAAGCAAACTCACATATGGAGCCAATTCTATTTTGATCCTGGACCAGCTGAACTCCACAGAAATAAAACATGCCTGAAAGGAAAAAATGGGTCTTAGATCAATTCAAATAATAAATCTGTTTAAAGAAGGGCTTTATGCTTGTACGGCTTCACTGTGCTTTCAAAGCCTGCTTTCTTTCACAAGTATAAAGTAAACACTCTGAAAGATCATTTGGGTGACTGATGCCTTGTATTTTGTTACCCTTTACTATATGGTGAATGATCCGTGTGTAGTTATCTCTTGAGAAAGAACACTGAAGTGGTGACACCATCATGTTTGAACTCTGTGAGACCTACTGCTTAAGCTGTGTCATGACAGCACAAGTTTGTGTGGGCCAATAATATGTAGCATGGATGCTTGTAATAGTCAGTAGTTAACATGTGGTGGTGCAGTATTTTTCCCATGTGGTTTGACTTGCAGGTCTTTGGACAAACATCTTTACTAGGAATTTGCTGGATGGCTTGTACTGGTCCTCAAATTCAAATGAATTCTGGGAACGATGGGCAAAAGATATGGTAGATATAGGTAAGAGTTTCAAAATTAGTATTTATTTTTGATTAGACAGTGCTTCCTATTCAAGAGAGGATTAAGAAAGATACACTATTGCTACTGTTTGTGAATAATCTCTCATGTCATCTCCATAAGTTGCTATATGTTGCTTTGCCTCACTGTGGATCTTCCAGCATGATTTTCACCTGTATCAGAATGATCACTGTGTGATGTTTTAAATTTATTTTATTTTATTTTATTTGAATTTTTAATTCAGAGACATACTTCATGCTAGTTACAAATGTTTTTCGTTTAAAATTTGCTCATGGTCTGTTAAATGACTCCTCCCATGACTGCAAATGAGGAGGGTAGCATTTAGTAGTAGGCAAAAGTACAAAACCAGTGTGTCATTTGAAAGAGTAAAAGACAAAAGCCGTGCTTGCTTTAAACAAAACCAAATATCTCTTTGTTTAAATGGAATTGGCTATGTGCATATGTTTTCAAGCAGCCTGCAAGAAACAAGGACCCACAGGAAGACAGCAAGGACAGGTAGCCAGAAAAGCTGCTCAGCAGAACAGATTGACGATGGTTTTTCTCACAGTTCCTTCTCTATTTCAGAAAAACATTCCCCTGAGGATGATGTCACTGTCATCGAGCCTCCATCTTGTTTGTCAGGGAAGTTGTATGAAATGTTTCAGGACATTATGACCAAGCGTCCACTACTGGGAAAGTCTCATAACTTCCTGAGAGGCTTAGAATTTCATAAGGACTATAGCCATCAGAAAAAATTTATTGAATGGAAAGGTAACTGCAACAAAGAGTTAGCTGCACTGTGCAGGTAACATCTCAGATTTTTTTTTTTTTGTCTTTGGAGATTTCACGTTTAGAGATATTTTCTCAGGGTTTGGAAATCTGTTGAGATGGTACAATGTTCATGGTGTCTGTTTCTTTAGGGTAACAGGTTAAAATGAACTAGTCCATGGGTCACTCTTCTCCTGAAGATATTTGTAACTTGCATCAAAGCATGCTTTTCTACAGGCATTTTGTCATTCTGCATAGGTACAGTAGTCAAAAGATTCAGGAAGGGTAGAATCTTTTGAGGTCAAGAAACAAAGGTAACACTGGAAGCATGAAATAGCAGGTTATTTTGTGGATCAGATGAAGGAAAGGACTGGCTGCAAGCATGTGGTTGCCCACATGTGTGGTGTTTCTACTTGACGTTTTATCCATCCAGAGACCTCTCTTTAACATTTCAGAAACAGAAATACCAAGATCCAACAACAGAAAGTTAAAACCACGTAGGTTTAGATTGTATATATTAAAGAAAGAGAATGTGTAAACTTGATGTATAAATTAAACAGAGGTTTTCTATGGCCTGTGCTCTGCAGGCAGGCAAAGTAAACAGTCATAATAGCTTTACCTGAAAATCTATGAAACAATCTGTGAAATGACAGCAGGGTGATGGAGCTGAGGTTTTGTGCTTCACAAATCTTCCTGTAGTCCCAGAGTCCTTGTTTATTCCATGAGAAGGTAAGCAGTGTGGGAGGACTCCACACTATTAAGGTTAATTGGATTTCAGCAAGGAAACACATTTTCTCTGCCTCCTCTGAGTCCTTCTCTTTGGCAGCTTGTGTTTTCTCTCTGCTGTTTCATGCAAGTTCTGCCACTTTTTGTCCCTGGCTGCCATCGCTACATGGTTTGCTGATGATGGCAAGAGATGGTGGAGCCTTTTTGTGCATGAAGGCAGAGACCACAGTGTGCTAAATACTTTTGAAATGTTCAGTAAGCAAAAAGTCCAGGTCCTAAAAGAGTCTGCTCTAAGAAAACAAGTGAGAGAAGGAGAAAACAAGTAACATAAGCAGGGTGGGTGAGAGAAGGGGCAAGCGAGTAGCTAAAGAAGGTGGATGAAGGATAAAATTGTCAGTCAGTAAATGTTAAAAAAAAATTTTGCTCACATTTGCTGACTAGCAATTTTGTAAAGGCAAATGGGTAGGAACAGATTTCAAGGAGGATTTGGAGGAAGAGAGCACAGGCACTAAAGACTACTTCAGGGTAGATATTCTATGAACAAAGTAAAATAAGTGGAAAGCATGAAGTCTGGAGTGGGAAAAGGGAAACTCAAATTCTGGAGTAGGAAAAATTAGCATATTTTGTATCCTCTTTTGGCTGCCTGCATGAGACCAAGCTAAAGCCAAGTATGGATCCATCTATAGGAGCAAGACAAGATGCCAGCTCTGAGTAGAAATGATAGTCTCGTGGTAGGTGAAGTCTCCGGAAGGTAGCTGTGTTTTAAAGGCTTCCCTGCAGCTCAGGTTATCTATCTGACACATTAAAACAAGACTTTAAATGCTATATGAAAAGCCTAATTTTCATAGTGATAAATCTGAGAACTCAAAGCCTGCAATTAGTGCAATGCATTTACAGCAGGGTTCATGCTTTCAAGGGAATTTGTGAGGCAGGACTTCTTTAAAGTCCCTTTCTGGGTGTGGGATGGAAGAAAAGACTCTCCCAGGGAAATGCCTACTTCTGATTCACATATCCAGCCATGAATAAATGCTGCACAGTTCCATCTCCATTATAAGACAATAGAGGTAATGGAATTTCAACTGAAATGTTCACCAGGCCAAATAAAACTAAAAAGTACGCTCTGTTTCTTCTGTGAGGGACTGCAAGCAAATGTCTGTCATTACAGCAGAATCTGTGAATTCCCAGCAGCTGTGAATGCTAAAAGAAGCAAATAATATTATAAAGACCTGACAGTGAGGGAATGGAAAAAAATATGAGTTATTGCTTCAAGCTGCTGTCAAACATTCCATGCTATGGAACAGGCTGGATTTATTCTGCGCAGTTTAAATCAACACTACAGAATGAGGCCAAGGAGGCAGAAAGACTGAAAGAAGTGAAATGCTGGAACTTACCTGCAATATTTCTGTGATCAACAGTTTCTTAGAATAAGAAAGCACAAGTGATTTAAGGCTCCAGGAGTCTGCTCTGGACTTTGCTACCTCATTTTGCGAACTTGAGGAACACTTCTAAGCCGTTATTTTGATATTTAAAACCATGGAAAAAAGTTTCTTATTCTGTGGGACTAGAAACGGTACCAGAGGAACAGTAGTGGGCTCGCTGTCTACAGGGCAGGCTGGTGCAGTTGCTAGCAGAGAAATAAGAGTCTCACTATCATCAACTGGCTTTAGATCTCCACTTGCCAGTTGGTACAGTCCTCTTTTGGCTCCTTTTGGCATTAATGTAAGGATATGATAAAATACAAAATACTGTTTGATTTGTTGCTACACTGTGAAATTGCTTTTGTTGATTGCATATTTCCTGCTTCTTAGGAGAAAAAAAAAATCAGGTAAATCTGTATTCTGTGACAAATCACTCCCCAGAGCAGCTGTGAGACCAGTGGAGTCTGTGTCTCACCTGCCCTCTGCCTAGCTGTCTCATGGCCTGCCTTTGTGAGTGTGCCTGCAGGACTGTGGTGACAGGCCAGATGTGCGCAGATGTGCAGTTGGGAGGCCGTGCTCCTGGGGCCATGTTTGTGGGCTCACATTATGGAGGGAGGTGAGCCTGGTCTTGAGGGCAACCGCGGGGCTACCCTTAAGATGCAGCACAGACAGAATTACTGAATTCTTTCCTACCAATGCTCCACTAACTATATGCACACCGCTGCAGAAGTATCTTTGCCTGATAGATGTTGGCTATTTCATCAACACCAGTGGTGCAGCACTTTTCAAGCCAGAGAGGAATGTAGATGTCATTATCTCCCTTGACTATGGTTTGGGAAATGTGTTCAAGGTGAGAAGATTAACATGCTCTGCTCCTTGCAGCCCTGGTAAAACTATCCTTGTGTTATTAAAGCTTTTAAGTAAGTGGCTGTCTAAGTCTTGATCATATACTCAAGAGCAAACCAGTCACCATATCTTGGAGGGGGAAAGAAACTTCCTTCAAGACCAGAATTATAGAAACTGTTAGGCTCTTTTCTCTGTAGTGGATCACAGCATACACTTCCCAGGATCCTCAGGGAATTGCCGTAACAACTGGTTGCTGGAGACATGACCTTGATCTCTCCTGGTCTGTCCTCATGATAAATTCTAAGTGAGGCTTTTGGTCATTCCCTCTAGCTGTAAAAAACATTATAGGGTAATAAGAAGCATCTTCTGACTTGTGGTGAGTGGTGGCAGAAAGTAGCATTATATTGTGGCTCCTTTGGACTACACATTCATCGCAGAATGATTCTAGGGACTGAATTAAGTTGCCATAATATTTCTATGACACCTCAGTAAACCTGATTCTTGTCTTATTGTTAGCATTAAGGCAATGACATTCTGTGTCCACAGCAATTAGAGATGACATACAAATATTGCAAGATACAAAAAATCCCATTCCCCAAAGTGGAGCTAAGTAAAGAAGAAGAGAAGAACCCGAAGGAATGTTACGTGTTTTTGGATGCAGAGGACCCCAGAGCACCCATAGTAATCCATTTCCCCCTGGTGAATGACACCTTTAAGGAATTCAAGGAGCCTGGTAAGTTCTGTCAACAAAATTATGCTTTCTAATTGAGTTCGGGCCATTTGTCTTTCCATAGCATGGATCTTATTTTTCCTTTGTAGCAACAATTTTAAGTGAGGGTACAGCCTTTGTGTGGGTGAGACCATCCTGTCTCCTACCCATCACAATAATACGTGTCTATTTGCCTCTTCCATTGGGCTATAAATGAGCATGCCCACTGATCTGTCAGGCCAGGTTTAGGCTATGGGATTCAGCTCAAAGCACACGAGTTTCCACCATGGCATGGTAAAGGAGAAGGAGGTGTCAACTCTTCTCCTGTTAATCTAATTATGTTCGCCTTCCCACCAAAACCAGGATTATATTCCCCATATACTAAGTGAAACTGTATCTCTCACCCAGTAAATCATGACGCAACAGAGGCAGCTGAGGCAGATCCATGTCTCTGCTGATTAGCCTCCACGTACTGCTCAAGAGGCAGGTTAGGAAACCACAGCAGGCTTAGTGATGTTGAGTGAGACACAGGACAGAATAAGGCTCTAAGGCAAAACTCACACTGCAGGGCGTACTGGAGAAGACAGCACCTGCAATGGTAAGATGTTGGGGAAAAGGTAGGGCCAGAATTCGTCCTTGATCTAGAAGAGACTGTGAGGACATTTGCCAACTGATTCTCCCTCACCTTCCCCCTGTCAGTTTAAGACCTAGGAGTAATCAAGCAGGCTGGGCACTGGTTGCTTCTCCCACACTCTCATGACTTTGGCCAACCACCGTTTAGATGGAGAGAATTAGCAAGTCTCTCCAGCAATAATAATAATGATGTTTGTGGCCCAAGAGTCAGAGCAGAAGGAATGGGCACACAGCTGCTGACAGCTGGATCAAGCTGTTGTGAACATGTTCAGAAAAATAAATAGTAGGAGGTGTAGTGAATGCAATGTTTAGCTGGCATAAGGGTAAGAAGCATAGAAGTTACTGATAGTCCTGCCTTGGCCTAGCCATTAGATGGTGTTGGTACAAGCATTGTGGCAGAAGGACACTGCTCACTTTACTACAAGACAGTAAACAGAAGGAGCTGCCAGAAAAGCTGTGAGTCTGTGGTGTGCACAAGGGAAAGCCTGTGTTAGCTCACGAAGGGTCTTGTCCCACACTTGCTAAAGAGCTTTTCACATGGGTTTGGCAGCCCTGTGCACATGATGAACAGACAGCAAGACCCTCAGTTTCCCAGGGAACAAGGCTCATAACCTTCCTCCTTTTCTCCAGGGAATTCCACAACAGACATGGCTTTGCTGTGGGCACATATACACAGTTGGGTTGGTTCTGTGTGGGGGCCCAGCAGGTCCTGTGCAGTATGCTCTGCCCTCAGCTGTTTTCTTTGAATGCAGGCGTGAAGCAGCAAAGGCCATGTTAGACCAAGAGAGCCTCAGCATCGACTAGGTTTTACCAACAGCTTGTGAGATACTCTGCAACATCAGACAGGCAGTGCCTTGTTGGTGCCTCTGCCATCTGACTTCCTTAACCCAAGACCTTGCTCTGTGCTGGAACCCTTACAGCAACAAACCCTGAGGTATCTCACACGCCACCTTTGGAGTTGTCAGGCCATGGGGTACTGCTGCTCTCCCTCGCTACTGCTTACGCAGCAGACAAAGCATTCATTCTCCTTCCAGCTTTACCCAAAATTATATCGTGGTACTGGGACCACAGCAAAATGGACGTCTCTGAGGGAACATTTGGAGTAGGTTATGAACAGCAACAAAAGAAGTGAAGTAAAGCTCCTTTTCTGCGCTGATGTTCACCAATGCTCAGAGAATATGTGCAGTAATAGATACACCAATAAAATCATGTTTAGAAATACTATGGATGAACAGAGGAGACAAGCAGCAAAGGGAACTAGGCTTGTTCCCTTGAAGATGGTCCAAATGGCGATGCGCAGTGAGATATGGCCATTGAGCAGTGCCTAGCAGGTAAAACAGGCAAGAGTTGAGGAGTCTCGCTGAATGAAATATGGATGAAATTATGCAGAGCAAAGCACCTGCTGCAGTCTCGCAGCACTCCAGGCCCAAATTCGTGAGCTGTGACGCTCACCTGCGTGTCTCTGAGCAGCCGGTGATTCATCAATCAAGCTGACAGCCAGCCAGTGACGTGGGTGGTTGGGGGAGAAGGGGCCTTGGCAACATGCTTAAGTGGATTTCAAGTTTAACAGTGGAGCTTTTCAATGCTAGATGGCCGAGAGACACCTTGTGGAATGTCGGTTCTTATTTTTCTTGCTTTTAACTATTTAAATTCTAGAAAAGAGACCCAGCTTGTGAAGTGCCCATTTACGATGCAACTGTAGACTTTGCTTTTGTGTGCTTGAGGCAGATGCAGCTGTATCTGGATGTCGATAGCACAGATAATATGGCTCTCTGAATACTGGGAGGCTCAATGCAGCAAAACTTGGACATTTTTAATACAGCCACCTCTAGTGACAGCCTGTGCCCACCAGCCTGAGATCACACTGCCCAGAAACCTCTAGGTTAGACTAAAACCTGCTATGTCTCAAGCCAAATTGATGTGTCATTTCCATGTGGTTCTGGTAGACATCATAAGGAATATCTTGGCAGTCTGTAGCCCCACTGGCAGTCATCTCACAATACATTTGTGGTTTGGGCACTTCTTGCAAGAAGATAGGTTAGAAAAATGGAGAAAAAAATGTAATTCTAAACATTTTGTAGAAGAATAAACATGAGGGTGCTGAAGTCCCTCGTGGAGGTAATTAGTGTGTCCTTTTAAGCAAAAAGATTGAGCTAACAGGGAGGATGGATGCTGGCAACTCCAAGAGGTTGGGCTAACCCGACACTGAGTTGAAGGTGTTGAAGGGTGGGAGGCTGATGTAGGGTGCTTGGTTCCCTCTGCACCTCTGGACTCTGCAACAGGCAGTCCTGCCTGGTTAGCATCACAAGGCCTCCTGGTATGTACTGAGTTGTCCACTCGCTCTAGCTGGCAGATACTCTCTTGTCACCACTAATCGAGGTCTGATAACGGATTTTGAAAGGTGTTCTAGGTGTGCGGCTTGTCTGAGAGTCAGAGGGTTTGGGAGAGGATGTGGACCCAGGGGCACGCTGCCCAGGAATGGCTGTCTACAGGGGCAGGACGAGGGGGAAAATAACAATTCCTGCCAGCCCTGCTGAGGGATTTCCAGGTCTGAGCTTTAGCAGGAGTAGGAGGGAGGAGCGGCTGGGAAAGCTGACCAGGAATGACTTTTTCAAGCTGTGGTGTGGTGCAGTCTTTCTTTCCTGGAGGCTGTTTTTAACAGCGAGTTCTGCTGAGTAGATCAGTCCCCTCCAACACCATGTGTTCTGTGCTCCAGATTCAGTGATGGCTTTTGTCCAGATTCAGTGACGGCTTCTCACTGTGATGGCTTTTGTCTTTCTCTGCAGGGGTAAAGCGCTGTGTCTCAGAGATGGAAGAAGGCAAAGTGAATCTGGAGAACAACTGCTCACCCTATTACCTCATTAGGCTAATCTACTCCTCTGAAAATTTTGACAAGCTCGTGAACCTGAGCCAATACAACATCCTCAATAACAAAGACCTGCTCCTCCAGGCAATCCGGAGTGCAGTAGAACGGAGGAGAAGCAGCAGGACTGGGAATCTTCCCAGCCACTCTGGAGCTGGATACCACTAGGCTGGGTTTTCACACTGTTCCACACTGAAGGCTACGACAGTCACATTGCAACACATCACAGTCACATTACAACGTATCACAGTGTTCATTATTTGCAAGAAATTGAGGAAACCTGTACATTTCTCACCTTGCCTTGTTCAAGTTCCTAGCTTTCAAAAGGGTTTTATTTAATCTCCTTTCCCCGAGTTTTCAGACGATGAGAGCCTCATACTGTGGTCTTACTTGTTAAGAAATTGGAGTCCTGGTTATCAGGGACCTTCCAGGATCTCCCTGATGTTATAGAATATGGTGGTGGTGATGATAGTGATATTTCTTCATAAGCCCCTGTCCCCTCAATCCTGAGCCCATTGTTGGTGTCTTTTCAATGCTTCATTACAAGCAAAGTCCTGGCCATTTGCATTCAGTAATGTCCAGATTTTCAGATAGGCTGAGCAGCTAGAATTTGCACAGAATTGGTGGGCTCAGCTTAGAAGTCAGGCCAAAGAGTCATATAAATCTGTGAACAATGGCCAGACTGCAACGTGGACAATTCTGTCTGGCCGATTCCCCTTGCTGATTTAGAAATTATTCCCTTTTTCCATTCCCCTGCAAGAGTTTGGCACAGAAATGCTACTCCAGACTGTCACGAGGGAGGCAGTTACATTTCAAGGAGAGAGGACATTAGCTGCAGAGCGTGAGTGCTGTTCTTTTGAGGTAAAATTGGCTGGAGGTAAAATTCTGCATAAGGCATGAGTGATTATATTGATTTATACAGGTAGTGCTTTTGTACATTAAAATGTCAAGAGCCTGAAACAAGCTTTTGATACCAGAAACTTGATGGGAATAATTACCATAGACTCAAGTACATTTAATTTAATAATCATGACCAAGAGATAAGCTGGTGCTCCTTACGTATGTAAACTGAATGTAGGATAGCACAACTCACTAATGAACTGCATAGCTGTTGTGTTTGCACACTCAGAAGATTTTTTTCCACTTTACAGTCTTCTGTCCCTAACATCATAAGCAAGGTATTTTTAATAGGTGCTACACTAAAATAGAGTGCAAATAAAAAAAGGGAAATTCTTTATAACACCTCCTTGCTAGAGGAAAAATTTTGGAAAAATGACGCCTGGTTTTCTTTTGCTCTGGAGTGCAGTGAAAGACATTGCCTTGAACTGGGAGCTTGGAACGTCTTTTCAGCCCTCCACTATATTAAAAACATGGTGGGGAAGGGTGGTGAGCAATACAAAACAGAGCTCCACAGAAGTCAGAGAAATTTCCAGACTTCATAGAACTGAAGGATTTGGACCTGCTTCTGGCTTATTTAATCCAAGCACAACATGTTCATCAGGATCCCCAAGGAAAATCTTATACATTTCTTCTGTGTTGGAAATGTACTTGATATCTAGAACTAGTTCTACCTGAAACCAAAAATAAGACAGAGAAAGAGAGACAGGGGTCTGCCTTTTTGGTGTATGCAGATAGTATTCAAGCTCAGGAGGAGAGCATTTACAAAAGGCCTCGATGCCTGAACGCTGCATCTACTAAACGCTTCTGCTGCTGCAAGCAATGGCAAGGACTAAGCCTCAGCGATATTCCTTGTACAATGCTTATTTACTGAGCTAAGGAATACCGTGCGAAACCTGAGGGGTCTTAACAGCTGGAATGCAACTGTACAACTGAACTCAGACCACGAGAAGATAAGAACTAACCGGATACTGGGTGCAAGCAAAAAATAAAGAGCTGTTTTGACTTGAAAGGTGAGATGGCAGCAGGGGTTTATCTCAGAAGAAAGAGTCCTACCAGCAGGGTCTGTTACCTTCACGTGGGAGAGCAGCACACCCTGGCACAGTGTGCCGTGGTGCAGATATACGCACATACAAGCACACGTGGCTCTGTTCACGCACATGCACAGCGTGTGCATCATTTTCACACTCCTCTGGCTCATCCTATAGAGAAACCCCTTGCTCTAACCTGCTTGCACAGAACAAAACCTGACTCCAGCATGACTGCAAAGAGGCTGTGTGTCCCGGTGTCCCGTGGCCTGGTGTGCCCTGATTGACCGGGGCTCTGGCGCTTGGCCCCGCAGCCAGCCGGTGTTTGACCCCCTGCTCACCTCAGCCGGGCAGCGGGAGTGGAAAGGATGGACGAGGAGTGAGCGAGGCCATCGTGCTGCCTGTAGCTGTGCCCTCACTGTGTTGGTGCACTCGAGGCGTCAAGTTATTACTTGAGTCTTCCAGAGTTACGCTATTGCACGGGACGTGCAGAGGGCTGAGCTGGAGGAGAGGGCTGGGGGCTGAGCAGCTTGTGGGGAGACCCAGCAATAGCAGCCGATCATGGCTTTTCTGCCACAGTTGTTGAAGGACTCCATTCAGTGAGGGACACTGGTGTTCTCCACAACAGACTGGGATTTCTTTTGACACTAAACCACTTGGCCTTCAGGAACAGATATCCAGGGCAGCCCCCGCCAAGGTACAGCGGATTCATCAGGAAGAAGACCACCAATGATGTAGCTGGCTTTTGTTTACCTGTCATCCGTATCATAAATAGGAACACTATTTTACCTCATCTACCTAATTTTTACGCTCTGCTGCTGCAAGAAGATAGCTCTGTTTTGTTCATGGGCTACAGTGAGTGATCCATAACCCTTGTGAACCTTGGCAGCATGTGCCCAGCAGCAAGGTAGCTCAGCCATGCTAGAAAACCAGGTCTATAAATGCTCCACAGACCGGTAACTGGGGCATGTTTGGTGCATTCATAAGTGCTGCTATGCAAACAGAAATGCCCGCCAAAATGTGAAAAAGCCAAAAAACCCACAGGGTTTTCAGGTAACCCACAGTCAGTGGCGAAAAACATTTCTGAGGGACTGTTAAGCACTGTTACAGAGTGATGGAGGTAGCTGTGGGTAGGGAAGGTGGTGGGAAGGTGGTCTGACTCTCCCTTTGCTGGAGTAACTGTCACCCAAGGTTGTGCTGACACTTAAAGTAGGGCTGGGGACTGCTGTTTAATCTTGCATGTGCCCCTTGGTCTCCTTGGGGCCCCATGTGGTACCCGTGTAGCCTTAAATGATAATAGTTTTTTTTAAATATATTTTTTCAGAGCCTGAAATTGTGTGAGGGCTGTGTCACTGCCCATCAGAGTGGGGGGGGTTGTTGTTTTTTTGATTTTTTTTGTGTTTTTATAGCATGGGAGTATGTTGCTGGCCTGATGGTGTGGCAGGAGGAACTGGAGGGCATTTGTGAGGGCAAAGGCTGCTGGAGGACACTGCAGGGCGAAGGGACCCATGCCCAGCATGCTCTCAGCTATGCAGCTTGTTGGGAAGTGGTGGCTGGCCTGTGCTGTCCCCCAAAGCACGCACGGTCTTTGGTTCAGAGCACGCTAATTCGCGTAGCCCAAACCCCACAGAACTGTAGAGCGTAGCTGCAGTGACGTACGGCTGGTCAGTGACCTGGGCGCAGGTCTGCTCCCTCAGTCCTTGTTTCCTTGCAGCTGTACACGGAGTCTGAGGGCATGGGCCGCTGACGTGGTGTGTGTTTGTCCCCTAAGGGCTGTTCCTTGTTCCCGGTCCTGCCAGGCCTTCTGCCACGTGCTGTCGAATGGCTGTTTGAGCCGAGCGCATGACAACCAAAGCAGCACTGCGAGGAGAAAGCTGTCTCACCGTGTCTCACCCTAGAAAGGCGTGTGAAAAAGCACATGGAGTGCTTAAAAACCAGGCCCTGCTGTTCTGGCATTACGTTTGCTTAACCACTGACGAGGAGTGCACGTGCACACAAACCTCATCCGCAATGCACCCCAGGTCACTGCTCTCAGGTGAGCATTTTGCTGGAAACCACCCACAAATACAGAACTTGCTATCTGCTGCCAAACACAAAGGGAAAAAAAAGTTTGTTCTTATAACTGTTAGCTACTCTATAGGAATTGGTTGCTTGTGTCTTTTAACCATTTAATAATATATTAATTAAAAATAAAATACTGCAAAGCAACACCAGACCCATGAAAGTCTTTATGCGCTTAAACACCAGACTACATTTTTCCCAGTTGTATTAGCACTGCTTATGGTAAGTGCCTGCTGAGCACTTTGTAGGGCGTTTGCTGGTTTCAAGGTTGGATGCACAAATTTGAGAGAACATATTCTGGTTTACAAAGGCATTGAGAGCCTGGAAAAAAGTGGAACAAAACCTGCCTCCTGTGGTAAAACCCTCTGCAGTGGCATGGCACGAGGCAGGGTAGGAAGGCAGCTGTACTGAGCCACAGCCAAGGCGTGGGTTTATTTTGCCTCTTGGTGATTTGATTTAAATGTGTGCAGAAGTCTGCCTTGCACTGAACTTTATGGCTATCAGCTGAAGGGGAGTTAAAAATACCTAAGTTTTTTTTTTAAATGAAAGTTTTTATTTTTTTTTGTAAAAGCAGTTAAAAATGATTGACAAGAAAGGAAAGTGTACCAGTTTCCCATTATTTCATTTGCTGTATTTTTTGTAACAGGCAGCATCTCCAGCAGAGGTACAGCAGATGAGGGAGCTGGACTAGCCAAAAAAAATGTAATGATTAGCTCACCTTGCTGGATGCTAGTGACTGATCTGAATCAGTCTGAACACAAATTTAAATTTTAGACATTGCATGTACCCATAAAGTATTTACATAAACCCAGTGTCATGCACTCTCCTTCCCTCCCCCTGGAAAATGAGTCAAGGCAGAGGAGAAGACTGCAACCAAAAAGCAAGAACCATGCTTCAGGCTGGCTAAAAAAGGATCGAGGTGGAAGTCCTTGTCAAAGCAGTTAAGGACCTGAAGATTTAGCTTCCACTACTCAGGGAAGAGACCTGCAGCCACTACACTGTCCTGGGTGAAAAAAATGCCATTTCTCCCTAGATTCATACCAGGTAACTTTTCTTTGTCTCAGAAACAGAGATAAGTAGGAAAAAAAATTCTTCGTCATGATTGCACCATACCTGAACAAGTGGAGCCAAAAATCCAGATGATTGCACCAGTAGATAGGTATTTAAGCAAAAAAGGGCTAA